AGACAGATAAGAACAGCTTCATTTATTAGGTCCTGATATGGAAAAAATAGTCTAGCATCTGCTTTCTGTGCCAGACAGAAATGTTGACAATAAGCAGCCCTAAAACCACAGATAACTGTCATAGCTATGTATTTGTTTCAGTCACAATTCTGTATTAGGATAGCTTTACAGAAGACACATAATCCAAAAAAGTGACTAATCCAATATATATAAAACGTCAGTGGATATGAAAATGTATGGAAACTGATACAAGGTGGAAAAAATAAGTGGTAAGTGTGCCCCCTTTTTCTTCTCCACCATGGATAATCATCTGAACTTGATTTTATATTCATTATGGTTTATTTAACAAACATGGTTTATTTAACAAACATAAAGAATATCATACATAGTTTTCATTGTTTTGCTTGGAAGTATAAATTGTGGGACCTAAATATACGAACAATGCAGGATATGGATGAAAGTAATTTAACCTTCACTGAGGTTGCATTTGCTTGGTATCTGTCATAATACTAATAATTGCCCCAACAATCCAGATTTACCCCAGGAAAGTATGACGATGGAAAGACTAATAACTAATATAACTCTTAAATACAGTATTGTTGTTTACTGCTGGTTTTTGTATACCAAACCCAGAAAAAAACAGGCTGAAAATCCAAGCTTTTCTTCAGCTTTGTAGGTCAGTTCCTGTATATGTTGCCTTAAAAAAACCCAAGTACAGTAGATTTTGATCATTGGAAAGTCCTCAAAAATTTCTACCTGGAAACAGGACTTGTTCTTCCTCACTGGTATAAGGGGGGCTAACAGTACTACATATTTACAAAGCATGATATTTCCTCTTATGCTTTTTTTGTTTCCTACAGCACTGAAAAACTTTAACAATTTAGACAATTTGTTAGGTTACAAGTCTGTTTTAGACAAATTTATTTATTTTTAATATCAGATTAAATGGTTGAGCCATTTCTAACGAGCATAGGGAAGAGCTGCTGCTGGGAGCTGTCACAGAACTAAGACTGGAAATCTTTTCTGTTCCCTCTATAGCACTCTTCAGCACTCCACCAAAAATAATTTTATTTAAATGCAAAGGGAGTAAGAGCAGAATGAGGCTGAGGGATGAAAGAAGATGACAGAGAGCTTGGTAAGAACAGGAGAGAGAAAAATGACTATGACTGGAAGCTGGAAGGGGACAGAGACTGGTTGGGCAGGAGACCGGGGAAGAGCATAGGTCTGAACTGTTTGGGCAAGGAGGCTGGAAGATGATGATGGTCACAGAGAAGAGAGGAACATATGAAAAAATGCTAAGAGAAACAGATGGAGACAGCTGATGAGAAATTGAGGTGCAGAACTGAGCCTGACTGGCTGAAGAGAGCGTAAGCCAAGAAACTGTGAGGAAGCAGTGAGGAACCCAAGCAGGGAGATGGGTAAAAAGGGAAGGAGAGAGCACTTTGATACCCAGAGCACTGTGGATAGGCTGACACTCACTGGAGTTGATAAGAGAAACTGAAAAGGCAAAAGAGTGGAAGGAATGGAAATACAGAACTAGAGTTTTCGTATACCTGAAGGAAGCAACTGTTTGAAGTTTTATTGGTGTTTTTCCTGCCACTGTTTGTTCCTTTTTATGTATAGCTATTTTGGGAGAAGGGGATTTCTATGTAGGTTCTTAAACCACGTTTATCACTATACTAATGCAAATAGAAGCAGGACTGTTTGCCCTTGGCTGTTGTATATATGATTCTTTGTTGGACTGATGCTTAAAACCAAAATTAGTCAATGCTTGAACTGCTATGCTGCAGAAGCTTCAAAACATTGTACACAAGTAAACAGGAAATTAACTTATAACTTACAATTATACTAAGTACATATAAACAGAAAATTAACTTACAATTTTACTAACCTTGGTATAAATGTTGAGCTGATTTTTATCCTATCTGAGCATAGAATCTGCCTGAAAGAGGTCCTCTCTAAGTCTGGTTTGTACTCAACTGCACTCAAACCTCATCTGTCACCAACATCAAGCTTTTAAACCTTCAGATACAGTGCTAGAAAGAGGGGTCACATGCCCACTATTATTTAAAGCATCATCACATTTCTACTATTTTAGTGAAATAGCCACACTGGGAATGGCTGAAGGAACTCAAAGCTGTTGCTCACACTGAACATCTTACAAGAGTGTTACATGGTAGGGCTGTACGTGAAGCCGTTGGTACTAGCAGAAGCAAAGTAATACCACTCAGATGTTTGGAAATGTCTTGCCCTCGTGAGAAGCAGACACCTCTGGCTGAATTGCAACTTGTGGAAGAGCAAAAGGCTCTTTGGCATTGCCCTTTTGTCTGGCAAGGTCCTTTGCACAAATGTTCTGCTTCTTGGTCCTAATTCCCACTTCTTTCGGAGCTAGGAGATGTCGTCTTTCACCAAAACCTGGCTCGTCTAAGAGCAGTGACTTGGAGTTCCTAAATACCACTGGAGTCAGAGTTGAGCAGAAGCCATTTTTCTCACAGAAGATCTTGCCTCAGAGGCAACGTCTTCTGACTGTCATCCATTTGGCAATCAAGGGGAACTGAGATGTAAATATTGCTCTTTGTGAGAAGCTTAGCTTCTATTTTCTGTTTAGTTCTGAATTCAGTGGTAACAGCAGCCTATGCCTGACACAGGGGCAAGCACTGGTTTGTTCCCATTCTAGGCAACTGCTTCCTTATTAACAATATGCTCAGTGGGAACCAAAAGCCCTCCTCTGGTATAAGCACCATGATTCTAGAAATATCTTCAATATCTTTGCAACATAAACGTTCCTAAGAAGGCTTAGTCATAGCCACATTTTTCCATCCACTTTGATCACTAAGATAGATAGAACTTTAGTTGGAATCAAAATTCTTCATGATTTACATTTACTAGCAATTTAGCTTTTGAATGCCCAGATGAACATTTTATCTTATAAACTCTGCTATCCTGAAAGTGTCAAAGTAGGAGGGTAGGGATTATCTGAAGCTAGTAATCAGGGTGTAGGAAATTTTTACAGTGGTTTTCTTAACGAACTCTTGCCTTCAACAGACATCTTCAAAGTTGTTTTCCAGAGTTATCTTTAATAAATATCACTTAAGTATAATTGTGACACTCACTGACATTAAAACCTTTAACCTTTAAAATGTGGACCCACTCATGTTAGAAACTGACACTGCATTCACAAACAAAACCAGGGCATTTTTTTTGGAACATCACAATGAAGATCTGCAATCCAGAAGACAGATAAATTAGTAACCTTGGTTCCACTTTGAAAACTGCCAGGAAGACTGGTCACAAACCCCAGTGTTTGCAGAGAACACTTAATGGTCATTTTGAAAACCAACTTCCACAAACAAGGAATTGTAGCAGAAAAAGAAACTTGTTCAGGATAAGCAAATACCTTAAGTTTTAAGGCAAGTTTATGAATCTTTGTCACATTTGTGTGAGTGCCTTGGAAAATACAAGAAGTGTTAAAGTAAAAAGGTTGTAATCTTGAAATACTTAAAAACTAAGACACAGGCTCCTCCTAGTGGTAAAACCGGAAGGATTAGTCATTTTGTTCTAAGAATCTTCTAGCACTGTATTATTACCAATTATTCTCGTTTAGTCTTCCATTTGGTCCTGGAAGGTTTAGAAGCCTCTAAGTTCTTACTGCCGCTAAGGAATTCTTACCTAAAGATTAAAATAAGTGGGACATGACAAAACACATGCAAATCACTGTGATTTTTTTTTTTTCCCTCAAAAGTAAAGTTTATGTACTTATCAATGCTTAGGAGTGGTGAGGTGAAGGTGGAAAGGGTGGAAGACTGCATTCCAAAAGACTTACGCTTTTATATCAATTTTAAATCCAACCTCCAGATCTGCATTTGGTATCCGGAGAGCAGCACTGTGTATTCAGTAGTGGAAACACTGGACAGCATGCCTTTGTCTCAGATGAATATGCTACATTCCCAGAGTTAGCAGAACACCTGCCCAGTCAACATCATCAAGTACAAGAAAGATTTTGTACATTTCAAAAATTTCTTCAATTTTGAAGCCAAGTCAGTTGCTCTCTCCTAAAGAGCAGAAGCTGAGTGTCTGAGGTTGTTACCGATTCCTTCTTGCCATTGAACATCAAGCACTGTAACTATTCAGCCACATCTGTTCTTTAAAAGCATTCTGTCAAAAGAGACAGAGGGCCATTTTTATTATCAGGCCCTTTAAAAGTCTTATTCTGGACTGAAGTTTCTCAGCAGTCTAGAGCATACAGCACTTTGTAATTTATTATTTTAAGTCACAGAAAAATACACTTGCAAAAATCCAGCTTCTACAGGGGAAAAAAAGGAGCTGTAGATAGTAAGTGATGCTGTGCGTTTAATTATTTTAAACTCTAATCTTCCCCTTCTAATTTTACGTTAACTGGTTTGAATATGTTAATAGGCCTGCTAACATAATATTTACAATTTAAAAATTAATATTGTCTACTTAAGTGGCACCCAGTTTTGCAGTAAACGGAACATCTATTGTAGACCAAAGTGATTTCAGTCTTAACTATACTTGTAGTATAGTAGTATGAAGAATACCACAATTGCTAAAAATTCAGATATTGCTATAAGAAAATTTACAGTCTCAGAAGACAAAAGAAAGAAAATAAATTAAATACAACACAGGCTAGTTTCAGCGTTTGCCAATTTCAGTTTTGCCTTTATATTAGGAAAGGATGAAAAATCCTTTATTTTTTGCTTCTATTTGCATGTGTGCAAAAAAATTTCAATATTTCAGATGTGTCTGTTTTCCCTATTCGTGTTTTTCAGATTTTTTTTTAAAGACAAATTACATGGATGTTATGATAGAAGAAAACAAAAACAAGTTTTAACTGCTTATGTGGAAAGAAATGTAGATTTTCCATTTATAGTCTTCTCTTTTTCATTCTTTCATATATGCGTATGACGTATTTTGTATATAGTTACATTAATTTCAGAATAAGTTGCATCAATAGAAAAGCACAGGAGGATGAAAACCAGTTGCTGGTTGAATGACATTTTATTTTCACATTCAGACAGCTGTACAGTTTCTATAAATAGATGTGGTACTGTAATATTTACATCATTTCCTCACCCATTACTAGTGTCTTCCATTCAAATTGGTAGGCACCCTGACCAAGCCAAAACAGGGTTATTTCTGGGTTCGTTTACTCAGAATTCTATGTCAAAACATACAATACATCAGTTTGCATCAGAGCATTTTTTCCAGGTATTTTACATGTAACATTATTTTCTCTAGACAGTCTCTCCTCCCAGCATCCTAAGAGCTTTCCAGACAAGTGCAGTACAGTTCAAGAACAAAAACAGGATGCAAAAAACATTCATTTTCGGCCTACTTAAAATAAGGAATGTGATGGATAGTTTTAACTGTGGGAGTTTCATTATACGTCAACACAGTATTTGCAAGATTCCTTGATATATACAGGTACAGATTGGAAAAAAGCAATAGCTTAAAAAATTTGGAGACAGCATAATCCTTTGGGCTTCAGAACATGTTCTATAGATTGCTATAGAAATGTCTTGTTGTATAGTTACAAACGCAGAAAGACAAAAGGGTCTGCTGCATGCTTCTGTCAATAACGTTTCCAAGTTTTACATTTCCTTATTCATTTTCTAATCCCTGTGATTAACTGCTTTAGGTAGTGCTTGTATGCATCTGTTAACTCTACTGCTGGGATATCTACAAATGTTACCTCAACGCCCATTTGAAAATCCACACAATCCACAAATCCACAAAATCCAGAGTTTTTCACAATATACTGCCTTCAAAGTTTCTCTCTCCACTTCTTTTCCCACTTGAGATAGCAGTCATCTCCACAGATGGACCAATTTAATAGCCAAACTTCAATTGTCACATGATATTTTAAGACTATGGTAGCTAAATTGTTCATCTCTACCAAAAGGGTCTGAAGAACTATGTGACAAGAACTCCGTTGGTGGGTAAAAACAAACAACACAGGAGGAAAACAATAAAAACACTGCATTTAAACAACATGCAGGACCAGACTGCTTCCACTGAGCACATACCAGAGAATCTGAAAGCAGAAGCCTGCAGTTGTAAAGTGATTAATCTGTAACAAGTACCACTAGAAACAAAAAAAACAACCGAACTCAAGCTGTTAGTCATCTTAAGAAAAAAGGAATTCCAAAGGAATGGCCAGAGTAGGTCACTCACAGCTGGATGCTGATGCTCAAAACTGTTTGATTAACAGCTCATATAAAAACTCCATTAAGGATGAATTCAGAAGGAGACTGAGCAGTGAAGTCTTAGGTTTTTCTATGGGGAAAGACTTGCAGGGTCATACATAAATAATCAAGTTCTCATAGAAGACAGTAAAGTGAGCTCCAGTAACTGCAGTAAAAATAGGAGTACTGCACGTCAGCGTGCCAAAGGATAGGTATTTCCCAATATCGTGATCAGCTGGAAACTGGTCGAGGTGGTTTGCTTTTGTTTTCTGCCTCTTTTCCGCGAATGGCAGCCACGTAAGAGAAGAGACACAGCACGGAGTAGCAGATCTCATGAGCCTACAAGAATTTAGAAAAGGAGACAATGAAATTCATATGATTTAGTGTTTTACAAAATCCACTGCACATTTCGTATTTTGCTGCATGTGACTGACATGCATGTGCATTTTGCTTCATGGGACAACTACTCTGACTACAGACAAAATCAGGAAAGTGTGTCCCATACTACCTTTTAACTGAGATGGATAGAGAAGAAAAGCCTTATAACAAATAAAAAAATCTCCTTTGGGATAAAAACATCAGTTGCTTGGTAGTATGATTCGAATCATTTTTAAGAACAGTATGCTAAGCTAGAAAGTTGGACAGCTGGCTGTAGAAAAAGCGTCCTACATATTTGCTTTTGGTCTGTTGTATGAAGTTACAAGAAATTTTCTGGGAGGGATTGAAAGAGCTAACTAAAAAGACCAGAACTAAACATCCAATACTGTACCTTGACTCATGAGATGGTGGGATTCTTCCTTGTTCACAACTATCTTTTTATGCTCAAAAGTACGACTGGTAATCCTTGTAATTTTTAATCAACGATAGTGAATCCATGGATAATACAAGATTTTTTTTTTGCCTTTTTTTTTTTTTTTTTAATTTAAAAAACCCCACAACCCAACATTGCATGTTTCATATGAAGAATACCAAGCAATTTTGTCACTACCTTAAAGCAGAGGGTTTCACACAGCATTAGCAAGATTTACAATTATTGCTTTTAACTGATTAAGTGTGCTATTAGTTAACAGAAAATCCTCTTTTAGCATGTGACTGGCAGCACAATTCAGTGAAGGTAAGACTTAGACTTAGTTTATATCCTAGTTCTAATACTGGCTTTTTTGGTGATTTTAAAAGTTCTTGTCCTGTAAATTGACATTTATAATCTCTGTAAAGGTAATAAGCATAATAACGTGTTTTGTTGTATTATAGTACAAGTAAAACACTTATGTAAAATATAATTAATTTTCATTAAACTGGCTTTTCTTATTAAAAGATACAGTGATCTGCTTCTTAAATTACATATATTGTAAGCATTTTGTTTCTAAAACATTTCTAGCTTCTTCAAGTAATTTTTCTCTCTCTCCTCTTGAGGTTTCCCTGCAATCACAAAATGTACACACTGCACTTTAGACATAAAATAACTGAAGAAATTTCAGTTCTGATGATAATCATTGGCTTCTATTTCTTCCTCATAAGTGCATGTAAGCCGGATCATTGAACTATTATGTGTAAGAGTGCTAAGTATCATTATCAACTGCTGGTGTTCAAAAAATGTTATAAAAACTGAACACTAAACCACAGCAGTAACTCACCTATACAGCAGGAATCAATACTTACACTGTTCTCTTGCATCTCACTGCTCACTTTCATGAGGAAATGGGAATTTTTCATAAAATTCAGTTACCAATCATTTTATGCCCAGGAACTAGTCAACCTTCCCATCTTTTCTGTGGATTAAGGATTGTTTTCTTGCACTGTCTTAAATTTAACAGTTCCACTAGCTCTTGTTGTGCTAAAGTTCATGCCAAACCAGCTACCTTGCATCTTTAAATATCTGAACAAGAGAGACCACGTTTTCTACACTACCTGAGTTCCTCTAGTTTCATAGAAACAACTATCACCAAGTTTTGTTGGCTTCCCTTAAGGAAAATTATCATAAAAGAGCAGCTGGTGTTTCACTGCAGTATTAGCATTGCAAATCCTGCAATCTCAATGTAATTCTTTTTGCCACATGAAAATGTAAAGATATATCCTCTAAAGAACTACCAGAAGGCATCACAGTTGACTCACCATTGGCGTCTTGTACTTGTGGCTCACCACTTCTTTAGTTTCAGGAACTAAAACCGGACGGGCAAGAGACAAAACAAAAAGTTCAAAAAACGAGAGGAAAAGGGGAAAGAAATAGCACAATGTTCCCACAGGAAAGGGAAGGGATGCACACAGACAGCAGGTGCAGGTACAGGGCACCTCACTATGCCTCACTTCTAGATACTCTTCCTTCTCCTCATTTACATTACGTATGTCCTTGAAGATACTGGTAGTATCATAAATTACTCAGGTTGGCAAAAATATTTCACTGCCTCTGTTTGGAAAACCATAGTAGATATTTGACGTATCTTAGAGACTCTGGCTTTTCTTATACTACTTATTCCTGCTAGACAGCAAAATTAATGACAAAATATGCTTAATAACAAAATATGCCCAATGTCTACTAGGATAAAACATAAACCAACAATTCCATAGGAATATGTCAGTATACAATTCCCAAAGATTTTATCCTTTAGATGTTTGAATCCTTCTCTGCTGAAAAACAGATCTCAAAAGAATTGTTGGAGACCCTGCAGTAAGTTAGTGAAATCCAGAAGGAAAAAAAAAAAGAGCTGAGGGAGAAAATTTTCTAAACTGGAAGACTGTTTCCCAGTTCTATTTCAAGAGTTTCTCAAGACATTCTTTTTCCTCTCTAGGATGTGTGTGATGATATTTGCTTGACATACTCACTGAAAATGTTCATTGCTTTTGAACAAGTTGCCTTAAAGTAAAATACTGATTTCAGTTACATGTATTCTTAAAATACCAGACTTGTTGATTTCTGGAAGACTTTATATATAAAGAGGATTAGGGCACTGATGGGGGGGGGGGGGGGGTATGTTTTT